AGTTAATTTGTTGAATGAGATTAGAGGGGTAAATACCTGAAAAATGAGAACAAATTGTCATTGCACTTGGATAATTTTCTGACACTGATTTATGGTATTAATCGGTATTCGATTTTTGGTACTGATTTACTCTTTTATTGCTCTATAAGAAAAGGAAAAATTGATACGAATCGTTCATTTATCCGCGTTAATTTTTTTTTTATTATATATAAGTGGTCCATGAGACGATTAAATATTCGAATACATGTTGCCGTATCAAAGTCTTCTCTATAATAAACGATTTGACACATCTGGGGACGCATGATGTATCGTTGCCCGCATCCCATTCTCTTCGTCCTACTTTTCTGTATAAAATGTCGAATTGAAACGTATTAAAAAGTATTGACATCTTGAATATGTCTGATTTCTGAATCTTTTTGATCCGAAGAAAAGGATTGAAAAGTATTAGTTTCCATTAAATTTTACTGCGCTAGATGCGAGACGGTCTCTTTCGCCCGAGTGCCTCACCAGGGAAATTTCTCTGGTACGCTAAATCCCGTAAGGTCATCAGTCTTTGTAGTATATCTCGTCGGTGCATAAGGTTTATATTACCTGTACATACATATTTTGAAACATTTTCTTTGGATATTATATCAAACGGATTTTATGTGTCACGTAATATTCTTCGGACTACACGGACATTATTATTTTGATCAATTTGACTTCTTTGTTATTCATTGAATTATCCAGAACGCGCAACTGCCATGTTGAACGATTCAATTGTCGTGTGAAATGTTTCGATTTTCACAAATTTAGATAAAATTTTTCATTTTTCACTAATTCACAGAAGTCTTTCACTTTTCATTAGTTCACGCTAGGGAAAAGATTCATGATCGCTGCCCTGAGCAACTGCAATGCTTCTCCAATCATCTATGTCGGCGCGCTCCTACTCCTCAGATTTCTGTCATTAATAACTCGATAATTATTGTGAATCTCGCAAAACGGTATGAGACTTTTATGTTTGTCTCAACCCAATCTACCCTCATACTTCGGGTTGGCAGCTAATTACCGGACATTTCGTATGATCTTCATGATATTAATCATACACAATGTCAATTCTTTTCTTTTTGCACATGTTAACATGTTAATTCATGTTATAAACGCGTAACAATGTACGAGACCGTGCTTGTCAAATATGCTATTATGGTTGTAGCACGGACTGCCACATACAGGTTTTACCACCGAAACCTGAATGTGAATGTAGCCTCGTAGTTCTCCTCTCAAAATGGATGCAGATGGCGGCCTTTCCCAGTGAGAAAAATCGGTGTCGTCGAAAACACCGTGTTGGCCGCTTTCATGTTCCTCTCTTTCTTTCTACGGTATACAAAACTGGGGCTGTATTCCGTACCTGCATATCGACGAGTTGTCAGTGTCGTTAGTGGCATTGCGCAGGTTTTTCATATAACAAAAAAGCTGCACAATACTGCTAACGACATCGACAACTATCGGTACGCGAATACGGAATACAGCCCCTGCGCAACGATAACGAAAGTGTCGTTAACTCTAATGACGAGTTAAAGAATCGCACCGCTGGTGCAGAGAGAGACCGGTACCTATTATGGAACTCGTCGGAATCGATTCCGATCGAATTTATTCCGTTATTTCCTAGATTTCTATTATCTTTTCTAGGGGAAACGGAATTATTCCGATCGGAATCGATTCCGACAAGTTCCATAATAGGTACCCTGAAAGCGACCACCGGGCCGATTACGCTAGGACGCTTTTTCCGCCGAATTCCGTCGCCGTGTCAGTTTTAAATTATATACAAATAGTATTTTGACAAAAACTAACTAAAACAAAAGGCAACTAAATTTACAATTATTTTTCTTAGTTTTACCGTGCAATGCAGCTTATTTGAGGATCTTTAAAGGACATACTGTTACATATTTTTAGATTTAAGCGGGAAGCGCACACTATTACATAAAGGCATAATGCACAACGCATAAGGAAATGGACCAATCACAGAGTCTTTCATTTCAAGCGTGGCAGTAGAAATGAGGATTCTAATTGGTTTATTTCCTTATGTGTTGTGCATTATGCCTTTATGTAAGGGTGTGTGCTTTCCGCTTTATACATGTGATGGCCTAACACCCGTATTCATAGTCAAGCTTTATATTTAAGACTTCCTTAAATTTATCTTCAGATGGTCTGTAGCCAATAAAATAATCCATGCAGTATCTAAAGATGGATATAAGGAAGCCTCAAATATAAGGCCTGACTATGAATACAGATATGAATCAAGTATACTTCCCGAAAACACTCCTTTTTTTATATTTTCTTATATCTTCAATTTTCTTGTATAATCTTTTTCTTACAATAAATTTACTTTAAACCTCAATCATTTACTTGACTTGAAATTATTATAAACTTCTTACTTAGGTTCTATATTTCCAACTCATGTATTACAAGCTTAGAACTATTAATTAAAATAAGAATGACAGAGTGATAAACTTAAGCAGTTTCATGGATTAGAATATAGCAAATTAGGAATTCAAAAATAAGTATAACAAGCTAAAAATGAAAGTATTTTCGTTTTTAAAAGTAATTTAAAAGGTATTTTTATTCTTATCTATAAAAATGTAAAAGATATTTTTGTTTTCATGTATAGGAATATAGAAAACATAAAAAAGTTTTTATTCTCACAAGAATATTGTTTGAAATAAAATCAACATTTATTATATATGCAACAATTTTGTTTTTTTTATTTTATAAATATCACAATCATCTATTATAATCGTATCATATATCTTCAACAATGTTTTAAATGATTAGATGTAGCCATTATCCGAAGAACGAATTATACTTGCATTTCTGGAGGAATTGTGTGTCTGTCTGATGTTTCATGTGTTTGTAATATTGGTCTTACTAGACTAATATAAAATATGTTATGTATTTTAATATATTTAGTGTAAAGTAAAAATTTATTATTAAAAGTAATATTCTTTTTAGTAATAAATTTTTGTATACATCTAGGGTTGCCAGATGCAAAAGTCAGTTGGGGAGGATGCTGAAAAGTTTGAATGAGCAAAAAAAAAGGTCATCGAGTGGGAAAATACGTGGCTAATATGCTCTCTGTAAACAAAGTATTGCACTTTACTTTGGCATACTGTCATATATCTTTCACATTTATCTATATATCAATATATGAATATATATTATTTTTCTTAGACCTATATACTTCTTATTCTTACTGCACATATTTTTCACTACTACTGGCACCCTTCAAAACCTCTGCATGATTCTTCATTTTCTCTGCAAATTTCAAACAATTATTTGACAAATTTACATAGATCATAAGTTCGCTCTTTATTAACAATACTGAGCATCTGTTCCGTTCATCGCGCCACTTCGAATTCATTACACTGAATATTCTTTTGGAATTTGCAGAGGTTCCTGACACTGAAAAAACACACGAAACAACTTTGAAAACATTTCTAAGCTTAAAATCAACACTTTTCAGAATTAAATGCCACTGACTAGCTGTACTCATACCAATAGGAGAGGGGTAAAAAATGTTACTAGGCAATATTACCAGTAGGAGTATTTAGAGACTTTGTAACTACTAGACATATAAGATCCACAGGAAAAGACAGGTCACCGGGTACGGCAAATTTTGATGAGCAAAAAAAAGAGAAGCTCATCGATGTGTGTTTGGGGAGGACAAATAGCATTCTGAGGAGGACAGGAGGACAGGGAGCCGGAAAGGAGGAAATTTTCCCCAAAGGAGGACATCTGGCAACCCTATATACATCACACACATTATATTCTTACAAAGAACAACAAGTTATTAGAATATACCAAAAATGATTTTTAAATTCAATATCCATGTATCGAGATACATTTTCCATTTATCTCTTATATCGCATTCTTGTTTGTTCTATCTTGTTTTATAATTTTTAGGATTTCTTCTATTTCTTCAGTATCACTAGAAACTGATTCACTAAAAATATTTGAGTCCAATATTATGCGTACAATATTATTAATCACTGCTAATTTTTTCATTTTGACAATCAAGTGACTTCACTCTGTACATTCATTCATTCATTCATCCATTCGTTCACTCATTCATTCATTCATTTATTCATTCATTCATTCATTCGTTCATTCAATAAATGATTGTGTGCTGGAAAACCCCAGGCTGACGCTAACCTCTAGACTCCATGTAATCTGCATGAATAAAGTATTTGGAATCAATGACTATTCCAAGAGATTCATTACAGTATTCTTTGCATACTCCTCTAGTGTATGTTACTGATTCTGGTTCAATGGCTCTGGGCAGAGCTGTTACACTCTATCCCCTGCGCCAGTCAACAATTATGAAGATAAAAGAAAAACAGGGATAACGCAGTCCCCACGATCAAAAAATATGCGTAGTTACAGGAACCACATCCAATCGCCATGGAGGCGAACAAAAAGCTCTAAGTCACTCCGTACATTATCAAGATCGATATCATAATAAGACACTGTCGCAGTATTCAAAACCCCGTTTCGTTTCCAGTGCATCGAGAGCACATTTGTCAAAACGGAATGTTTGTTCAGCACACTACAATGACGTGCGACGATGACGTCACGCTTGCAGTACTAGCAGTGAGCAGTGAATTACGGAACGCAGTTCTAGCGATGTGTTCGGTCGGAAAATATCTGAATTGAAACACTTGTAACATATACACATACAAGAGGGCACTATCGACGTTTAGGTAGCGTGACTTAGGAACGACCTGGGAAAATGTATTCCGATTGTTTTCCAGATTAGTCTGACGTACGACAGAGTGACGAATTTGAGTGTGGTGTGAGTGAAGTTTCACATATTCAGAAATTTGTTCATGTGATGAGCAACGCATGTGAGGATCCGTCATGTCCTTGGACGAACTATTTGTTGGAGGTGATCAATAAATGCGTGCTCAGCCTATGTTCGTTACTGTCGACGACTTTCGGGCTAACCTTTAATTCCAACGACGTTGTTATCTTTGATGACGGGACTTTGTTAAAGTTACGCGACCTGTTTCACGAATTGGTAGCGTTGCTATCGTTTGACGATTTTCAGCTTCAATTGCTTAAAGTCTTCTTGTTGACTTTTGTCAGCAGCGTTGCGTTGATCTTTGTTGCATGGCATATTTACGGCTCCAGAATTACGGAGCAGTTTATGAAAGCGGGTAAGAGTGTTCGAACAAAACGTATATTTTACATCGTATACGATGCTATTGAAGCTAATATATAGAAATCAATATTTTTACTTCCATTTTGCTTCGACATGACATTGAAAACAATATAGTCCCAGCATGACAAACAAAAACAATTAGTTGAAATAATTTCAATATGTTTCATATTATAGGTGCTTCCTCTGAAGATTGTAGTCCTCCAGCTGAGTAATATACTTGATTTCTGCCAAACAGTAGCAGTCATTTAATATCTGAAACATGGCTGATAAAATCAAATCATTTTTCCAACAAAAGAAAAAGAATGCAAAGTTTATGAATGCAGGAAAGGGATACAAGTAATTGCAATAATAATATATATTTTTATGTTTATTTACTGTATATGATAATATATTCAGTAGAGATTTAATAAATTAATTATATTTGACTATATTATTAAACTTATATTTGCACATAGGTTGACAGATTCCACTAGTACTAGATTGGCTTCAGCAGAACCTGCAAAACCAGTGTTAAGAGCAGAACCTACGGAAGAAGCTAAAGTAGCAGGACAAGCTGCTCTAGCAAGATTAGAAGCAAAAAAAGTTGATAAACCAAAATTCAATACGTATGTATTAATGAAGATAATCTTTGTATATTATATATCTATATTGCTGCATCTTTCTGCAGCAGTATAATTTTCGAGTGTGATGATATAACGACTGAAGATACAATTATATAAGTGAGATAACAATATAAGTTGGTCAAAAAGTTTAGGAATGACCAATTATCTCCGAAATAATTGATAATAATTGAAATAATTTTATGGAAAAATATTTCAGATAAAACATGCAATGTTCAAAAGATTCTATTAGATGGCTGTCTATATGACCTTGAAATGACCTTGGAATAACTGGTCAAGATAATTTTAAAAAACTTTAAAACTTAGACTCTTACTTTTGATTACAAGTTTGATTATAATTGATGTCAAGACCTTTTCAAAACACTAATAATGTTAATTTCAGATCTTTGGTTCAGTTAGAAGTTGAAAGCTTCTGAATTATAAGGGTTTAATGTTGATCAATCACCAGCATCAGAAGTCTTAACATATGTATGTCAACATATACATACACAATCAGCTATTTTCGAGACCAATGATGACAAAGGCTGACTAGACAACTTCTCTACAATTTTCATTGGGTAACACTGATGCTGGCGGCAGGTCAACATTAAACTTTTCTAGCTCCTGAACTAAAGATTTGAATTTAACATTATTATAGTGTTTTGAAAAGTGTTTCGACGTCAGTTGTAATAATCTGTAATTAAAAGTGGGTGTATCCATTTAAGTTTTTTTAAGAGTCTTAACAAGTCATTCTGAAGTTATTTCAAGGTCACACAGACATTTCCATCTAATATAATTTTCTGAACACTGCAAGTTTTGTCTGAAATATTTTAAAAATCAATTATTTTATAGAGATAATTGGTCATTTCCATTTTTTGTCCATCCTGTATTGCTCTGAATGTATATATATATGTATGTATGTATGTATATGTGTGTTTTTGTATATGTAATTAATATTATAATAGAAATTCTTTGATTTTGAGAGATGTTTGATTTGGCAAGCATTATGTTTATTTAAAGGTCATATGCTGCTATCCAAGCACGTGTTAAACGTGAAATGGAATTAGAGAAAAAGGCACAGCAAAATTTACAACAGGCAGGAAGCACAGCATTGAAAGAAGAAAAGGATAGAATTGAAGATCCTTCTACGTATGCAGTTATTGATGTATTTTTTCGTTGTCCATACATATCCGATGAAATATTGCCACGGGATCAATGGAAGAAAAAAATAAGAGAATTTTTATATGACGAACGAGGAGGAGAGGAACCTGGATTAACAGCGAGTTTAATTATCCAAAATTGCAACAGTGGAAAGGAAAAGATTGAGAATTGTGTGGAAACACTTGGAAAATACTTGGAGAATATTATTAAGGATCCTGTGATGGAAAAATATTGGAAGATCAGAATGTCTAATAGAATATTCCAAGTACGATATTGCTTGTTACTAGCTAATTCTATATTATTTCCGTAAATTAATTTACTACAATTTCTATATAATCTCATACATTCTTGTAGGAAAAAATTCTACCTGTTGAAGGTGCATTAGATTTCTTGAAAGCTGCTGGCTTTGATCAGAAGGTATTACGACACAACGAGAACGAAGAAGATTTCTTAGTATGGAATCCCGACAATTGCAATATTGAGGAGCTTGTGATCTTGAGTGATGCGTTGAAATCCGCTGAGCAAATTCCTATTGAGTTAGATAGAAATTTACAAGTATTAATGCCTTGCCAAGCTAGAGTAAGGAACGAATTGCCACCTAGTTTTTTCACAATATCCCCGGAAGAGATAAAGAGGGAGCAACAGTTACGGTGAGAGTTCACATATATATTATCTTTAGCGAAATACCGATTTATGACATATTATTTGAATGGAAAATATTAATTATCAGAACGGAAGCTGTAGAAAGGAACCAAATGCTTCGCACAAAGGCTATGAGAGAGAAAGACGAACAGCGTATACTTAGAAGGTACAAATTCGCCGTACTTCGTATTAAATTTCCAGACGGTTTAATACTGCAAGGTACGTTTATGGTACACGAGAAATTCCGAAATGTACTTGAATTTGTAACTGAAAATTTAGCCTATCATGAAGTGCCCTTTTCATTAATGACACCGGACGGAATAAAGCTGGTGGAAGAGTGTCTCGAAAAGACGCTCTTAGAATTACGATTAATACCTACAGCCATTTTGGAATTTTCCTGGAACACATCTGATGGCAGTAGTTGCTCGAACATGCCTACAGGCTATTTGAAGGAAGAAATACTTTCTTATATACAATCAATTTGAAAATAATTTTGCTCTGTCAGTGAATAACGATCATGTGAGAAGATTTACATAATTATAAAGGCATTTTTATAACTTTTTTTTATTATTTATAACACTTGGCGATTAATATTGAGAAATCATGTTACTGTTTTTTGATCATCATAGGTTCTGATTACGTCAATTTTTCGTGTCTTGTTCCTCATATTATAAGTCTTGTGCGAAATTATTTATAAGCACCGGAATAAACTTTTACTATAAATAAAATATTAACTTATCTAAGACTGGTTTTATACACATGTATAAAACTAGTTACTCTACCGCATAATTTTATTACAATATACATTCTGATAATATTAATCATTCTGATAATATATACATAATCTGATAATACCAGCATAAAATATATAAATGGGCGTAATAATATTTAGTTGAACATATTTTGTGAAACTTGTCTCTTTATTTAAAATAGACCTTCTACGTGTTGCAGTCTAGAGATCAGTAAGACATGAGAATGAGTACGCGTTGATTCGTATCCGAAGTAAATACAATTACACATATGTACTTGCGTGTGTGTGTATCACGAGTCACGAGTCACATGTGCAAAATTTATATTCGTCGCCCTTGATTTCTCACTGGGTCTCCGTCGAATTGGTTCCGGCCGCATCTTAGCGCGTTGCGCCTGTGGATATATGCACCTTTCGATTATCCCTCGATGTACGAAGAGTTGCCTGTGTTCAGGGAAACCGGTTATCCGTGCAGACGTGCAGCTGCTGGACCGCAGACAGTTTTGTGTCTCTCGGCAATTACCTAAAACCAGTTTGGGCATCACCTCCGCCCTTCCCCCAACCGATAGTATTTATAGGCGTACGGAATGATAATTTCTCGTTTATAACGGTATCATCGACAACGTGGCGTCGCGTACAAACGTAGTAATATGCAAATGCTTCGAAACTACGTTTCGGATGGCAGAGACTCCTCGTACGCACCGGAGACTACTGCTCGTGGCGAGCGATGCCTTCGGCGATGGAAAATACGTATTTGAAATCGAGAATATACGACTCGATGATGAGTCAATGGTGTTTTGTACGCGTGTCCGTCGACCCAGTTGGTCGACGTGCACGCGATTTCACGAAGGTTCATCCGTATGTCGCGTGTAATATCGAGCTTGGTACTCCTAAGTGCGCGTGCAAAGTCCGTGGTAGCCGGCTGTCGCGGTTTTCTCATATTGTTTGCGCGCTTTTTCGAGCGCATTGTTCGAACCGTACCGCTCGCGTTTCCTGTTGCGTGCCAGGATGGGGGACTTGACGCGCATTTAGGCGCGTGCGACTCGGCACGAGGAATTTTTTCCTTTCACGTATGCACGTACGTGATATGTGAAAGAAGAGAGAGAGAGAGAGAGAGAGAGAGAGAGAAATTGACCGATTTCACGATATTGAAGATACATAATGCTCACGCTATACCAACAAATACCAACAATCTTCCGTTGCATTGTTTAGAAACAAAGGGAGATAAGAGTGAGATTTCAAAAGAAGCTCGCAATTTAGGCGCTATTGCCTCAGCAGATCCTGTGTAATTATTCCGCCGTATTTTCATCTCGTAAGATCTGTTATTTGACGTTTAGAGACGTCCGCGTCATTATCATTATTTCTATTCGCGTCACATTATCATTTTACTTACACGGAATGGATTTTCGCGCGCGGCGGTCTTTTATACGCAATAATAGACTCCTTTGCAGACGCACCGTATCGTCCTTCGATTCATCGCAGCTTCGCACGGTCGGTGTTTCGTCCCGATCGACATCGCGGTTGAATATATCGATATGGTCCTCTGACCTGCTTTCCTCATATTACAACGATGTGGATGACTGCTCGATTGCTGCTTCGAGTAGGACGAATTTGTCGCCGCGTATAAATTACACAAGACTCATCATCATATACTCAAAAGAAGAAAGGATTTGTATATTTTCTCTTTTAATATAGTAATATTTTTAAAAATATATATTATATATATATATATATATATAGAGAGAGAGAGAGAGAGAGAGAGAGAGAGAGAGAGAGAGAGAGAGAGAGAGAGAGAGAGAGGAAGCAAACCAAATTTTTGTTTCGATTTAATATTCTTGTTTTAATTTAACATTCTTGGTTGAAGCACTGAATTTAGAATTCAGAATATATTTTGAGCAAATGTGATGTTTACGATGAAATTACGATAGATTTGCGGATAAGCTGAAATGCTTGAAATGAGCGACATTTACTCGAATGCAATATGCAGGATATCCGGGATCTTTTGGAGACGAAAAATTATGAAGATTAATCAAATTAAACTGAGAAGAAAAGTCATGTGCCATTTTGTAAAAATCGTAATAGTTATTAAATTATTAATGATTGAAAAAATGACCACATCTAAAAGTTCTTTTAATTGATAACGTAAAAACTTGCGTACTTATTTGTAAAATAGTAAAGGACTTACTTGTTCAGAATGACAATTTACAATTATATGACGGATCTTGAAACTGTCGCTATGCACAATAGCCATCGTAGATTAGATCATTCTAAACAATTGTGGATTAAACGTTCTAAACAATTATAGATTAGATTAATTAAATTAAACAATTGTAGATTAGATTATTCTAAATAAAAAGGTCCTATATCATTCTGCAAAGAGATAAGATACGCAAGTCTTCAAGTCATCAATTAAAAGATCCTCTAGATGTGGTCCTTTTCAGTCATTAATAACTACTGCGATTTTTGCAACATGATACATGACTTTTCTTCTCAGTCTGATTTGATTAATCTTCTTAATTTTTTGTTTCCAAAAGATCCCGGACATCGTGTACATCTTCCTCTACGTGGTTTTCAAAATCGGATTGCTCTTTCTGTTGAGCAAAACTTTGCTGAGAACTTTCCGAGAGAAACGATTCGCACGTATTCACATAGAGACCCCCACGTGTCAGGTGTTAATTCGAATTACTCGAAGACGGTGTTCTTATCCGCGCGAATAGTTTTTCTCACGGTCAATTTGAACAATTTCACGCCTAATGAGTAGGATCGCGAAGACATCGTAATACGGCGCAATTAGCATCTCGACGATGCACAGGTATGTGCGCTTCGACGAAGACGCAGGGATGTGTGCTAGCGCAACATATCTCCGCGCTATCGAAGTATACGCGTTTTGATTACTTCATCGCGCAACTGTTGGTCGCGGTAAATCACGGTTTAGAGCGCGGCACATAATGACAGAATACGATATATTTACGACGTTCTCGACATCCGTTTGACCGTCCATAATAGCCGTGTATTAGAAGCGCGCACATGGCCGCGGGATGCGTTCGCAAACGCTCGCGTGTGCGCGCGCGTGCTTGTTTGTAATCTCGCATACCGCGAATTGTCGCCCTTTCGCAATCTACTCAACGATTCCGGCACACCTGTTGCAGAAACAGGTGGTAATGATCGCGCTGCGAGAGCGAGTTTTTTTCCCCCGCGACGGAGGAGCTTCACGTCGAGGGCGGGGTGCGTCTGGCGGAAAAATGAGCGCTCGCGAGATGGAATAGTTCGCGCCGTGCTCAGAACAAACAGGTTAGGGCATTGTTACAGATTTTACAACAGCTCGGCAACATAATTACGTAAACATTCTGCTGCTCGTTTACATGTTCGGAATTTCGTTGAATTCACCGAACGACAAAGGGAGAGAGGGGCTTGTCTGTAGGCCAAAAAGTAGGCTATTTTCACGATTTTGTTCCGGAAACTAAACGGACGATTGATTTCAAACTTGGTTAAGAAATTATATGTATTTCACTTGTAAGAATAAATTTTTATAGTGTTATATGAATAATAATGTAGCAGATACACAAAAATAACGTATTTAGGCGCGCGCCGTTTTACGGCTCCCATGAAATCGTGAGATACGATGGACTGGAACAAAAACGCAAGATAATTAATCTGTGGACGAGCTTGCCGCTATCGTCTGAATTAGGGAAATAGAAAACGAACTACTTTTTCAATAATTTCAAGGCATTTAAGAATTATGTTTGACAAATCGCCATGAAAATCGACAGTTTTACGTTAAAAGTAAATATAAAAAAATAATATTTTTTAATTTCGCTAGTTCACACGATAGAGAGACATGTTTCGAATATGTAACTCGTACATGTCGAACGCATTCATTAGTTTGTCTCAAATCGTAGGAGCCAGTTGAAGCAAAGTCATTTCGAAAAAAAAAACACGTTTAAAGTCTCCTGTACTATTCGATCATATTTCTAGTACTCACGTAAGTTTCAGCCTAATCGGCAATTCCAGGTCCATGTGATAAATCCTCCTCGACTTCATGAAACTCGTTTTTTGCATTCTCAAGGTTCGTAGAACTGTTTCTACAGCGATTATATGACGAAACTTTGAAAGATCCAGTGAGCGTTTTGATTTTGACGTGTGCGCTGCTTCGAATAATAGGTTAGGTAACTTCCATAATTTTCTGAATTTCTCGATACGGATGTTAGAATGGATTCGTAACGATACATACATTTTAAGAAAATGTGATAAAAAAATCAAGACCCTACAGATTTCCTCTCTTAAGCCCGATCACTCGATTGAGATGATTTTATTGTATATCTGCTTTTATATCTGCTGCACAAAGTCGAGTGGAAAGCTCGAACATAATGCGACGTAAACTGCATTGGAATTAATCGAAAGTAAAGTCAGCCAAGTGGGGACACTTTGCATTTCTGATTCCGGCGTCGCGTTTTAACGCGATGGGGTGTCAAGACGATAATTAGCGATATGTGCGCGCGATCGCCACTTCGTGGGTGTTCAGCGAGGTTGGACGATTTTACGTAAGAGTGACGACGCCGTTGTGTAATTGCGATCGAACGACAGAGTAAAAAGAGAGAGGCTGCGCATCGGAAACGAACGGCATCCGAGGCGGTCGCGAGCGATGGGATGAGTTCGAGCGAGCGAGCACACGCCCATCCCGCTTAGAATATAGCCTACCGGAAATTTGCAGTTACCTTGCATACCTTGCAGGGTCGAACGCCCTGGGGACTGAACGCCGGCGATCCGTGGGGTGGTTAATTGCACGCGACTGAAACGGGATTTCCAATCCGTCGCGGAGATGATTTTCATCCGCCTGGAAAGTAGATTCGCCGCTGGAAAACGGCGTCGCGCGTAATTGTCGACGAACGCCCCTTATCTCCCGCTGCGAAAATGGAGGAATCACACACATAATCAAGGTTGCGCGCAAAGTGCACGCAACCGAAATTCCAAGACCAGAGCTCGACTCTCGCCATCGTCGGCGCGACACTCGCATAACTCTTTCGAAAATTATCTTCGAATACCGAATATTCCTCCTCCGTGCGGTCAGAGCCGTGCGCTCTGCCGCGCTTTCGGACATTCCCGCCCGCGCGCCGGCGCGCGGGTGCCGACCCGTTTGGAAAACGGTAAAACAGAATTGTCCGAACGCGCATTTATTTGCAACGCATATAATTCTCGCGCGTGTCGCCCGATGGCGCCCTCGCACTTTTGAAATATTTGAATTGAATTCAAAATTTCGAGACCCGCGAGCTGCCGATTTCATGCTGCTCGAAGGTTCCAAGGATTCCGCTTGCGGCTTGTCTCGATATCACTCGACGACAAGCTTCAGAGAATCACAGCGATGTTCTTTATCAGCGCGTTCGCCGGCGTGGCGGAGCACGGCGCGATAACGCGCCTCGCGCAGCTGACATGCGCGCTAGCCGGCGGCCATCTTGCGCGGCTTCGCTTTCGCATCGGAGTCGCGTGGCTGTTCGCCGCGGCTTCACCATCAGTACACGCTGACTGTTGAACCGCGGCTGGTTGTGTATCGTGCTTGGAGAGCGACGCACTGTCCGTCGCGGTCGAGACGCTACGCGGCCTGTCGCCGTTCCTCTGGGTTTTTGGATGACAAGGAACAACGCGATGGATTCGACGATCGTCCGCGACCAGTCGACGGCGTCGTCGACGACGTTCGCCGCTCGCCGACGTCGGGACTTTTGAACGCGCGGAAAACGCGCGTTTATTTACTCGGGGTGACAGTGATAGACGACACGTCGCTTGCTTCGCGCGTAACGCGCGATGTAAATAACACTGCGACATAATTGCATTATCCTCTCGTAAACGCCGCACGCGCGCGTTTCGCCGATCGCGCTGGAGGATGATGAGCTTTGCATCGGATTATTAAGCGAACGGTACCGCGCTACTACTGTGGTCTAGCCAGTTTTTCCACCGTTCTCCAGAGGTCCGTCCGTCAATCAACAACGCTCTCATCAACGGCGATCATCCTACGGAAGCGGCTCCTTGAAATTCTGGCGGAAAGGCATCAGAGAGTGCGGTGAAGGTAAGCGTAATTTTGTTTCTCTCTAATTGACGTACGATATACGCAGGATAATTTCGCTGCTCGAGGATACGAACTCGAGAGACTCGAACGAGCGCGCATCCTGTTCGACGAATCGTACTCTCGTTCTGGGATTTTGGTTATGTACGCATGTTTGTTATACATAAGCGCAACTTGCTTAAGGACGATTCGTCGTCCATCGTTTCCATTCGTAGCGTATTGAACGATGATGTTGCTTTCGATTCAATTACCTAAGCGTACGGCAAGCAAGAAAGCACGAGAGAGAAACGCAAGATTGCCCGTCCGTAAAATAAAGCTAATCGTCGTGATTTCGTGAACGGAGAGAGATACTCGCGGGAGTAGACGGGACGCGTTAATAAGGACACACGACCGCGTTAAGCGAGGGGCACTCGCACCTGCGCGAGCGCGCGTAAATGACAGGAATTTAAATCACGCGATCCCATCAAGATGATGAGCGACCTTGATTACGTGGTGCGACAATGACATCCTTGCAAGGCAGAAAGCGTGTCGCGCAAACGGTGCATAATCGCGGCGCGTGTTCGGCGCGGGAGGTCGCGGGCCGACTTAACCTTGCGCTCTCGTCAAGGTGTGCATTATCATTTCTGCTGCGTGCCTTCGAACGTCGGAGCTTGGCTTCGTTTGGCGGCGCAGCTGCGCAAGTAAAGAAAGTTTCAAAGTGATACCTTGCGCGAGTCTTCAGCCGACGAATCTTGCTCGGAAAATCCTGCCGACGAGCTGTCGTCGCTCGTGACGTAATTATGCCGATATGACGAAGAGACGCAGACTTAGCGATGAGCGAAAATCCGCTCAGCAATTTGACACAGATACTTTCTCTCTTTTCCCTCGACGCGTCTCACTCCGATGGAAAACATAATTCAAGCTCACGAATGATCGCGCTGGAAATTATGACTCCGGCGATATAATGCGATCTGTAATTGCCTCATTAGGCGGAAAGCGCGCAAAGAGCTCTATCGAGTTCCGCGGAGCGCGGAATAGTTTATAGTCGGTCGATTGCGCGTACAGCCGCGCTTATTTGAAAATGCCGTCGTTTTTTTCGACACAACAGCCGCACAATCGCGTCGACGAGCGGGTCGCGCGATCGCTCAGCGCCCGAGAACGCGCGAAAGAGGAGACGCGTACGGAAGCTTACGGATTATTTTCTGAAACATTAAGCGTCATCGCTTAATGTTTCGAGGTTTCGAGATCATTCTAGAAACTCCTCGGCCGTGGTGCAGAATAAAGATCCTTACACAATGCTAGGCAACAGGCAATGGAACAGGCGATAGAAATAAGGGATAAGAAATTATCGGCATTGATACACGATGACGTTATGGCGATAAAAACCTTAGTCAATCGAATTGTGTCGAATCGAATTAGCCTCGTAGTATTCATAACTGATCTAATCAAACATTAATCTAAAACATACAGTTCTAAGTTTTTCTATATTTCAGATTCATGCTGTAAATTAAATATTAGTATATTTTAAAGCTTTTGTTGTGTGTGTGTGTGTGTGTGTGTGAACAAAGTAAATCAGTAATATATAAAAAAAAGTATACATAAGGATACACTATATATGGTTTTATTAGTATAATAATATTTTCATTGACATCCTGCGTCATTAGCTATGGACGACGAAAATATGTTACTTCTCTATGCAATGCAAGTTAACCTATCATTGTACACTACAATTTACAAATTTAACCTAACAATCCGAACTCTATAATTGGGATTGGCAACAGGCAATAGGTATAGAATTTCCAACGTGACGGAAATTCTGTGTCCATTGCCTGTGCACTGCATGGTTTCTGATACGTACGGGGGGAATTCCTTCTTCCTATTCTTTATTTCTATTCCCTGTTCCTGTTGCCTGGCATTGTGCGATGGCCTTTAGCCGCGCTAACGCGACGCGATCTCGGCCGCTGATCTTGCGCTCGTGTTGCGCGTCGCGCTGGGCGCGAGCGCGAGCGCGAGCGAAATTAAACACGCGCGCGAAATTGAAAGCTCATTTCGTAAACACCGGCGAAGGCAAGTCGCAGCTATAAATATCGCACGGCCGGTATCTTCCAGTCGCGATGTCGTGCTCGCGCGAGACGGATATACGACGCTCGCTACGTCGTCCGCTTGCGCGAGCCGATTTTTCGCGCCCGCGCCGCCGGCTCCGGCTGCTTTTCAACCTATCGAGCTATTGTCAGCCAGAAAATTTCGCCAGTGCTTTGCCCACACGTCTCATTGTCTCCTCTCGAGAACAATGAGCCGTTTAGTGTGTCTCGTCGTGTACGCTTTTTATCCGTCGCTCGTACATGAGACGCCAACGAAAGCGAAGCGGGCCCGATTCTCGTAGACGCGATGACAGTTTATCGGGTCTCATGCAAATCGCGCGCTTTGTTCGATTATACCTCCGCGACTCGTTTTCGTCTCGTTGCTCTCAGACATCTCAGACGTGTCGAGGCCGAGAACACGCGCGTGTCTTTCTTTGTCGGAGCTTCCCGTAGTGCAATCGCAGCGAAAATATCAACTCTCCTCTCTTCCTCTTTCTCTCTCTCGCTCGCTCGTTCTGACGGCCTTCGCTTCTTTCATTTACGATCGAAATAAGTCGGACCTGGAATGGCGCTTTTCAGGAAAAGCACGTTTTAATTTTTGGAACGCCAGGCGACCGCCGGCCGGCGTTTCGCTTTATATCTGCTTCTACATCGAATTTCCGTGGTATTTTGTCGCATCGACGGGAAGATTAAGGTCGCTTTATTCCGCTTAGGTCGTCGTAGCGCGTAGCGGCGATATGAAGAAAAAAGCAAGCTCCACCTTCGCGCCGGAGATGAATTTTTATCGCCGGTGCTCGGCGCGCACGGTTATTCGATTTTAACGCGATTACCGCCACCTACCTACCGTTCTCCGCTTTCCCGCTCGCCCTCTCCTTCGTATCGTACTCCTGCGTATTATACGCCGTATTGAACAGATATTTTACGAGGTCGTCATAATATCTGAGCGTTTCCAACGTCGGGGAACAGACGTCTCTCGCGCGCGCGCGCGCGCGTGATGTCTTCATTAAAATCTAATTAAATCAAGCGAGCGTGGTGTGTGGTACTCTTATCGCTCTTATCGCGGCTCATTGTTTACCGTTAGGCGCTGATAAGTTCGACTTTTTGGTGATGCCTCCAATTAATCTAATATGCACAACGGAGATCATTCGAGAGAGGAAGAAAAACACCAGTTATTATATAGATATAACAGTTAGCAGAAGGCTCGAAATTACTAAATAATATCGACATTATTAATATATTGTTATTATTAAACCAGTAGACATTCGTAGATACTCGAAATGAGGCGGGAAACTCGCCGAGCGGAAAATCAAGCGCATTTTTCACGCAAGTACGCGCCGCTCAACGATTGTAGTCACTTTACGAGATAACGACCGGGCGCAATTTCGCGTCATATTCGTAGGACTATAGCGAGGCGCGTATAAATAGTCGCGCGTGTCGAAACGTTCACGCAGCATCCTTTCCGTTCTCCAGCGCGTCGTGTCGTCTGACTCACGCCGGGCATATTTTTCAAAGCGAAGAATTTGTACAGGGCGCTCCATTCTGCGGCGGTGCCGCGCGTTTGCGGAGACGTTGATGCTCCTCGGTCCTGTTGGCTCATCGCGAAACGCCCACCCACGCATCGCCCCGGGCTGTAGGTATATATATACGGGGTGTCATGAAAGTGCATTGATCGCGGAGGATGGCTCTTAGACGAGGGTGACGCCTAGGAAGCGTTGTCGGGCTTTACGGGGAATCTGAAAAATTTACTGCCTCGTTAACACGTCGACTCCAGCAAAATGTGATCCCGCAAAAATGACGTCGCTCTCGCGCGAGACAAGCGAAATTGTTGCGACGCACGGAAGTACTCGCGCAAAGAATGCGCGCGGTCTCTCATCGCGTCTCGGTTTTTCTCTTCTCTTACGGCACGATTCTCTCTCAGCGGCTAGAATTGTCAACGCGGTAAAATGTTCTTTCTCGCGCGCGCGCGCACGCCCGCGTTCACTTGATTCCACGCTCGCGTAGCGGCGGCGTCGTTGTAAAAGTCTCTGAAGCCAGGGTCTTCCTTCTTGACAATGCTGCGGTACCATTCATCGGGTCACAGCGAGATTCCCTTTGCGTTGCGGCGCACGACGGAGTTACACTCCTCTGCTTCTTAATCGTTTTCGCGACGGAAGATCCATTCATTTCTTCGTGCGCTGTTCCCACCGCGTGTGCGCGCACAGTGCGTGCGCGGTGCGTGCGCGGTGCGTTTAACGCAATGGCGGATCTACCGCGATTTCGAATTCAGTGACTCACAAGTGGCACATATTTCTGTCTCGCTCGGATGGAGATAATTGCCGTGGATATAAATATTAATAAAGATACGATAAGAGGCGAAAGTACGTCGTTGAGAGAGCACGCTTGAGTCGTCTCGCGAGAGACGTGAATTTTTCCGTAAACCTCATTGAGCAAAACAGGTCGGAATAACGGGGTCGTGTCGTTTTATGAGTCGCATGTGCGGCCGTAGACGAGTATAAGTGTCGGCGCGGTGCAGCGCTCATATTTTATACGGCACTCGATCGCGCTCTGACCTTTGTCGTCGCGTCGCCGTCGTAAAATCGCGCGAGGGAGTCGAGAGGGGGAAAAAATGATTTCGCCCGAAGGCAGCAGCTTTTAATCGTCCGTGCCGCGTGATCGGCATGCGAAATGTCAACGACGAAAATCGATGGCGTTGTACATCGGGCGGCTGACTCGTAAATAACATATTCGGCGGACCGCTGATGGCACAAAGCTGAGCGAGTACATATACATGTATATACGGGGAATATAATTATGAATGCGGCGGCACTCCGTGCGCGCGCGTGTGTGACAAAACTGACAGCGATGCGAAATAGGGTCAACCGGTCTTGCATGCCGGCGTGTAGTCCGAGCCGCATTTTGACGATCTGAATAATTCAATTGCTCGATATTGTAACGCGCCGCCTC